AGGCACGGGCTCTGGTCCACAGGACCAGATAGGTTGAGCAACACTGGTTTAGATACATCTTTACAGAACATTTAGCTGCATGTCTAAACAGATCTAGCCCAAACCAAACCCCACTGACAAATACACATCACGATGAGTTTTGGTTCAGGACCTTAATAAGAATATCCTTGTCACTGTTGTCAAATTATAAACGTCTTTAGAAATAAAAGATGCACACAGCACTGATGTTTAGCACAGTGAGCAACAATTTCATTGCTTCCATAACTAAAAATAACAACACCAAATGTCCTACAAGGACAACATAATTGTAAAATTATGTGAGGATTAAATTTTTCAACTGAAAAAAAAAATCACACTTAAAAATCATAAAAACTAGTGCAGAAAGGGGCATCAATATGTCACCTAGTTCAACCCCCCTAATGAAGGCAGGATCATCACAGACTAAACCATACCAATCAAGTGTTTTTCTAACCTCCTCTTAAAATTGCTAAGGATAGACATTCCACAACCTGTTCCAGTGCTTAACTGCTCTCACCCTCAGAAAATGTTAAGTACTACTGTTAGAAGTAATACCCCCCCAAAAAAATAGAACTTGAGATATCCAAGAATATTGTATCTACTTTTCTCTTTGCCCATGTTTCCACCTTGTACATGGGACATCACTTTTTCTCTGACCAGTTTTACTGTTTATTCATTACAGACCACTCATACACTAGCAGAAGGAGAGACAGAAAAATGTGATTCCAAGACTATTAGGGCTGTCAAACAATTAAGAAGTTTGATCACAATTAAGCAGTTGCATGATATAAAAAAATGAGTCACAATTAATCACAATTTTAATCACACAGCTAAAAACTCAAAATTATGTGCATAAAAACTCAAAATTTTGCAAAATTATGCAGGTACTGTGTATGGGGGGAGGGGGAATTTGTGAAGGTGAGGGAGGCTGTGGGTGTGTGTCTAGGGTTTGAAGCCCGAGGAGGGGAGGTCCCCACACGCCCTGGCAGGATGCAGGGTACTGTGATTCTGGAATGAGGGGCAGCAGTAGGGTTGGGTGTGCTGTGGCTTAGGAGTGAGGGGCAGACAGATGCACATACACAGACAGATGCACACACACAGACAGACAGACACACAGACAGAGCGCCCTGTAGGTAAGTCTGTGGAGAGAAGGGGCATGGGGAGGGAATGGGTGTGGGGGGCAGATTGAGGGCCCCATGGTGAGGAAGGGAGTGGGGCTGGGGCTGGGGCAGAGGCACGCACTGGGGTGAATGGGACTCAGGGCCACAGCAGGTCATGGGATGGAGCCATGGGTGACTTGTCCAGCGTTTCGGGGGGGCCAGCTCCATGCTGCTGTGTGCACCCCTGGGGAAAGCATGGGGGGGCATGTGCCCCCGGACTGGTTGCTGGGGCAGAGGCAGGATGCACACTGTGGGTTGGGGCTCTGCGCTCTGCTGCCTTTGCCCTGGGAGTAGTTAACCACACTTGCAGAGCAACTGTATCATTTACTATGGTCTAGAAGAGAAAAAGAAAGGATTTTGAGGGGAAAAAAGTTATTTTATTAAATAAATTTATATCTAAAATTAGTTACACGAAGTCTTTTAATGACCATTTATGGTGACTCTTATTCACATGATTGTTTCTATCCTTAGAATCACAACTATTAAGTACAACATGCTTTATTTTTGAATTAGGGTGAAAAAGTGTGACAGATCACTTATCATCAGGGATCCATGATTAAAATGAAACACCATTATAGATATATATATATCTATACATTAGTGGCTTTTCATTTTAATCATGGAAAACTGGATTTTGGGTTAATTTTTTAATCCAAAAATTGGGGATTTTTTTATCAGAGAAAAAACAGGATCCCTGTGTATCACATTCTCTGTTCAGACTTCATTTACTAGAAGAGTCACAATCAATAATAAATAAAAAAAATATTTCCTTCCAAAAGGTAATTATGCTACATTGTTACCATATTTCAGGATCTGCCAGCATTTCTTTTTTGAACAAGCACCACCTTTAAGAATTCATAACTCAATGGTAACAATTTGTCTTAGACTGAAAATGTGATATGAAAATCCCCTAAAATACATATAAAACCCCCTAATTTTTCTACTAAGCTGTGGAGGACTTCATGCAGTTGTGTTTAAGTTGTTCAGTGCAGACACATTATGTGCTAGTCCCTGTGGACATGTGGACATGTGCACACAGAACAAAAGCATTCAATTAAATGAAGTTTACCAATCCGGAGAAGCATTTTATGTACTTGCCATTTTAAAACAGCTTAAAAGGAAAGCTTTGGAAGTGAGGGGCCCTTAATGTTGAAAAAGTCCTCATTTAAAAAACAAAAAAACAAAAAACAAACAAATAACAAAGGCAAAAAGAAGTCCTTAAATGACTAATTCACAAGAGAAACTTTTCTCGTATTTACCACACTATTCATATCATCCTAAGCCAATTCCGTAGGTAATAAAATCTTGTAACATTTGAAAAATTATGAAGTATCTCATCAGAAATTGACATCCCTAAAGACTTAAAATATAGAGACAAGTAGACAAGCGTTAGTTTAGCAGAATAATTTCTAAAAAAAATATATACATACATATTTAACAAACCGAAAAATACAGGCATTCTCAACTGAATTACAACAACAAAAAAGGAACCAACAGGTACCAATAGCATGGTGTCAGTCTGACATCCACAGAAGCAATAAAGTTCAGAAGAATGAGTAAAATTCCATCCCTAAGACAGTCTATTCTGCTTCTGTGGTTATGTGATCTCCCATCAGGGCCTGATCTCACACCACAAGATTGATCCAAAGCCCATTGAAGTAGATGAAATGTCTCCTACTGGCTTCAAGGAGCTTTGTATCAGACCCTATGAAGTAAAACAATAAAACATACATTTCTGCGTAATATTGTTCATATATAGCTAATCACAGCTAATCACAGTCTAACCAGGAGGTGTCACAATACAGCTAATTAAGAAGAGTCAGCTTTCGGTAGAATTGACTTGCTATTATGAGTTGAAGTCAGATCTTAATGTTATTTTACTGTGGTGTCATTATATGTATCACAGTTATGCCCTTTGAAAGTCAGAACATTCGGTTTCCAAAAATGAAACAGTAAAAAATCTAAACTAGTTTACTAGCAAGAAACTTAAAGCCATTTTGCATGCAAAATTGTTTATTTCATTAGAAAGCAGATCGCCATAAAACTTTCAAAACATGTATTCATAGGGGGTTGTTCATAGAACAAGAGGGCACATGGTTTTCTTGCACTTAGTAAAACCAGAGCAGAATCAAACAAATAAATAAACAAGACACTCTTCATTCTGTGTTAAATACAGGTTGGGAGGTGGGAGGGAGCCTGGTGGTTTCCTAGATAAAAGGCATAATCCATTTTGAGTGGAGTCAATAACAAAACTCCCACTGACTTCAAGGAAGCATGACCAGGCCCAAAGTCACACTCATATATTTATTGTTTTAAAGAGGTAATAAACTGTGAGTCCTGAAATAACAATTAATGTGGTCATAAAAGCTGGTGAAAGAAAAGTCCCATTGCTGTAAATTAAGTGGCTCTTCTTTTCTCCAGTCCTTGTTCACAGATTATAGGAAAGATCAGAAACTGAAAAAAGAGCAATATAAAACCTGATACTGATCACACTTACGTTGGTGTCAACAGATTTACACAAATGTAAGAGAAGTCAGAATCAGACCTATCACCTCCAAGCTCACCAAGACAGCAGAGAATGACAACTCAATCATCCTGGCACCCCCATCTCAAATCACTTTACAGCAGTTCGGGCCCTTTACCTTAATTTCTCCCATTTCTAGATTGCAGACTGAAACCATTTGCTGGTTTCTTGGGGGGATGAAGAAGAAGTACAAGAAACTTCCAAAGGGCCCAAATATTTCAAGTTCACTTTTTGAACCTTATTTCATTCTTTCATAATGAAAACAGAAATACAGTTCCCAGATAACCTTGTTAATAAGACATGAAACAAATGTTAGATTCCCTAATAACTGCCCAGTTCTTGGAAAGTTTCATAACATTTAAATGCAGAACCATATGTTACTGTTACTCATTTTCACTTTCAGATGTGTTCACAATGTACTAGGTGCTGGACAAACACCAAAGAAGGGGCAACATCTACCCCACAGAGGAGAATAAACAAGTATGGCAGAGTGCGTGGAAAAGGGGACCAAGCTTGTTAATACAGAGATTTGACTTCCTTCATCCCAGCTTCAACCAACATTATGGAATCTTCATATGTAGACCAATAGAAACAGCTGTTTCTTTGGATCAGTAACCAAAATAATATAATTTTTAAAAATTAATTTTGGATCAACCCAAAATATTTATTTTCTTTCCTCATTGAACCTAAAAAAAATCTGAAGGTGGAACTAAACATTTTCTTCAGTCAAAACCAAAACGCTTTTTAGATGTGCTTAAATCATCATAATTAACATCAAATGTAGCTCAATTTGGAAATGAAACATCAGACTAAATTTAAAAAACAAAACATGCCATTAGAATATGTCAAAACCTAATGTCAGTTTTGAAATTTTTCATTTATTTTTGTTTTACCCCAAGCCTTATGCCAAAGCTACATGAATTCACAATAACTTACACAGCCTTAAACCTGTATTTTATTCATCCAGAACATTTCACCAAGCCTGTTTCTAAGTTTGTTCCTTATGTTTCAGATGGGACAGCATTTGTCCTTCTGTTCACCCCTCCTCATGTACGGAGAGCTGGGACAGAAACTGCCCACACTGGGATATTCCTAGTTGATAAGAATTTCTGACCTGTTCCCTTACTCCCCCCCTTACTCTATTGCTCACACTTCCTTATTCTTCCTCGGAGGAGTGCAAGTTCCACTTATCCCTTTCCCTGGCTATTTCCAGGTGCTGCTAATCTTTCCTCTGTGCTGCTGCTGCTTCTCCTTGTTTCTGGCAGACTCTACAGATTTACAAGTCGAAGGGATCTTACCTCCGACTCCCTCTTTGTTGCTCTGTCTGCGACCACGTTGGGAACAGGGAGTGATGGATATTAGGGACGACTAAGACTTCCCTTGCTGCTAGCAGCCTGTTGTGGAGAGATAGAGATGCTGCTTTCTCCTCCCTCCCTCTTTCTCTCAGCCTCCTCCTCCTCCTGCCCCACCACCCAGAACATACCTGCACTACCCGTGGACTTGCCTCACCCAACACATCTGTATGCCTGTGCACCTTCCGAGACTGCTTTGCCTACTACTGTCTCCTTGACTCATTGTCCAGCGTGTACATATGACTATGC